TTTAGATTCTTATTGAGCAACCTTAAAAACTTTTCAACAAGTTGAATGAAAATCTATTAAAATTTGTTCAAGTTATTCAAGTTTTTACATTACTAATTTTGTAATGGTTGATTGTTTATTTTATATGATACATTATCAGTCAACTGGTTGATTTACTATACATCTACGAAGAATTTTTTCCAGTTTTTCCATCACTTAAAACAGTAGTAACAAGTTCATGCAAAAGAAATCCGTCCGTTTTACCTTTTAACAAAAAAAACTAATGTTTTTCGTGAAAAATAGATATTCCGTTTACATTTACCCCAAATGACCCTAAAAGATTTTATTATTTTTGAAAATAATGTAATGTTTGCTTTAAATTTTATCAACACTTTTTTTAAATAATTGAAATCACTTGAAAAATTTTATTATAAAATAGTAGATATTGAAAATGATTAAATTGAGGAAAATTTTTGAATATAATTGAAATTCTGCTAAGAACTTTATTAAAATTTTTGAAAATAATTGAATTTTGGAGAAGAATTTTATTATTTTTAAAGATAATTGAAATTTCGAGGTGACATTTTTAAAAATTTTTAAACATAATTGAATTTCTGCGAAGAATTTCATTACTTTTGAAAATAATTGAATTTCTGCAATCATTTGTAACTTCTTATAAATTCAATTTTTTTTTCTTGACCTATGACAACCTTTATTGTTGTAAAAACTGAAAACCGGCAGTCTAGAATAATATTACTCAATTTATAATAGAATATAAATAAACTTTGTATTATATATAATATTAATTATTATTTTGACCAAGCAAAAAGTTGATGCTACATTCTACAATACATTCATTTTCCCAGTTAATACGATTTATTGTTTCTCTTTGCACAGATAAATGAAAATGTTCATTTTCGGTTAGTTGCTTATTCATTTAAATTTTATTCAATCCAATTGGTAGGTGAAACAATTCAGCTAATGTTTTGAGAAATAAACTTTATGAAATAAAACTTAATTCAAATATTAATTTGTTCTCTACTATTTTTTATTGTAAATGTTAATTTAAAACTGAAACCTTTTTAAATATACATGTGTTCCTCGCTTTTTTCTTAGATTTATTATAAACTATAAATTAACTTAAAATGTAATGAGAATATACAATTTCACATAGAATTTGCATGATTTTAATATTACTGTTTTTTTCTAATACTAAAGAATAATGCACGAAATTTGAAGTAAGATAAAAAGTCTTAAAGTTCAATTAAAATAAATTTTTGAGCTAAGGTACTTTTAGTTACCATAAGATAAAAGCAGGACCATTTGATTTGAAAGGATTCGGAGATTCATTCTTTTTCTGGAGGAAGTAAACATTCATTAAGAGTTCTGAGAACTCGACTCAACCTCTGCACCTTAGAAACTAATTTCTTTTCGCGCACAGTATTCGTTAGCAAAAAAGGAAAGAAAGAAGAATTGCTGCCCTGGTTACAAGTGCAATTACTCACAAGTACAGACAATTTAAAATTATTTATGAAAATCTACTTTTGTAGAGATTATTTTTGAAAATATATTATTCTCGTATATTATATTCATTTCATATTCTTTAATAGTTAACTTTTTTTTATTGATAGAATAGAAAAAGTGATAAAAATATGTCAAATTCTTTTATCAAAAAATTGTGAACTCTTCTGTGAAGTGGCTCTAAAGTCAAATGGACGTTGTTAGCAGTAAAATGTTTATGGAACTAAATTTCCTTAAGAGCATCATAACTTATCTTCTTTTATTAAGAAACTTTATACATTATGTACATACCAGTAAAATGTTTGATCTTCAAAAATTTTCTCAGTTCGCAAAATTTTTTTCTAAGGCTGTTAAACTTTATTTTTGAAATTAAAATTTTTTTTTGTAATAATCGAAATGAATGCAACGAGAATTTGAAAATTATTAGTCTTGAACGTATTCCAACTGCAAATGAAACCACAGGTTCAACATGTTTTGAACTTACACGTGGAAGAGGAATAATAAACCTTCCTCTAATTAAAGCTCAACGAAAAATTAGAATTTACCTATTTAAAAGTTACACCGCAACTAAATTTGCATAAAAAAATTTATGAATATGAAAACAATGAAAAAATGTATAATAATAAACTAGATTGGTTCTGTAAATATGTTTTGAAAATTTCATAGTAAATCAAACAATATCCATGGGATTAGATGAGATTTTTACGGGATTAATTAATAAATCATTGAGAGTCATTAATACCATAAACTATAGATTAAGCTCGGTATAAAATAAGAGATTTTATAGCTAAGGGTGTGCGCATTAATCGATAAAATACTTGTTCTCTGAAGGCATAATAGTGAAACGTTTATCAACAAGTATTTCATGGGCTAAGCACACGTTTTGCTCCTTAAGTCCAGCCTTACTTCCTTTCGTGAAGCTTACGTGCCTTATCAGTATCGACGCCAACTCAAGGGAGCTCTTCTTAAGCACCTCAGACTCGCAACTGACCTCGAAGCTTTCGATGATCATCGATCAATGCACCAAGATCGCTAAACAACATTCTCTCAAGCACTCTCGTCACAAGGTGTGTAAAATAAACCATGTGTGCAAAAAACCGTTCACAAAATCTCATAAAAGCCTTATATTCCTCATGCTGATGATAAAAATGTCATGATAAAATTTTGCTTACAAAAATCATTATTTTTACCTTTCTAATGTAATACAATATTTGTTTTATATAAAACAATTAAATTTACATATTTATATATCTATAAATAATAAATATTTTGAATAAAATGAAAATTTAAAAATGCGTGTTATATTAAGTATAATTGTTTGATGATTTATTCAAATGGATAAAGTAAAAATGTGGATGAACTAAATTTACTGCATTCAACAGTTCATTCATGACTTTAACAGTTGTGAAAATTGGGGCCGATTATTATCAAACGGATGGAGAGATAAAGACAAGTTTATGATATTGTTCGTATATCGTGCAAATTAAGAGGTATATTTAACGAGGAATGCAATTTACGTACTTTTATGACGATAACAACAGTAAGTTTATCGACCTTCTGCAAGACTATCATTGATAATTGCAAGCTCGCAAGCTACCAATTCTAACATTGTCATACATTACATTTTTAATTTAATTACAAATAAAGCAGAAATATGAACTTTGTTAATGGAAGTGGATATATCTTACTGTCTTCAAACTATTAGAATATCTCTGTATGTGTTATGTCTCAAAATAATTAAAAATTTTCCTATATGAATTTTCATAATTTTATAATCTCTATAGTGTGACTTTGAAATTTTTGCAAGTCACAAAACTTGCGTTTTTCCTCAGATTTTGTCTATAAGTTACACTGATATTTAAATTATTACTTAAATCCCTGACGACACGAACTGACAAAACGAATAATAAAAAAGTCGAATTTATCGTTATTAGTAGATATAAATTAAAAATAATAATTTGTTGATAAAAGTTAGGTTTACAAATAAAAATTTTAAAATCCAATTCTAAATCTCATTTACTGTGACTATTATTCGAACAAAAAGGGCGTCAGCGTTCTCTTTGATTGATTTCAAAGAGAAAAATTCATTTGCATGTGAAGATTTGAAACTTTGAGCTCTGCTTTCACATGAAGCTTCAGACTTTTAACTAAACCAATAAATGAAAATAGAAAAAAGTGTCGAGTTTCTCGCGGGCAAATGAGTTTTTGTTCTGAAAAAGAGGAGTAGTGAGGATGAGTTATCCATGAGACGATGCAGTGTCTGTGGGTTTTGAATGCGATTTCCGTGGTCATTTGACTCTCTCGTCTTGGTTTCCATTCTCGTTTCTTTTTCTGATTCTTCCTATTTTCTACGTCAGCCACGTTCGTGCCGGCCATACTTTATCATCTTGCAATTATTTCGCGGATTTCCCCCCCCCCCCAGCTTACTTCATATTCTCATCTCTCTTTTTATTTTCTCTCTCTCTCAACCTATCGCGGCCTTATATAAAATATACTTTTGTAGGCGGTGCGGTAACGGTGGCCGGTTATTTATTTTTCCAGTAACTGTAATTTTTCAAACACTGCCCGCGGATAAATGTGCCAGGCTGGTTTTGACGTGCTGAAATATATGATGTCGGAGGTGGCATTTCTCCAGGTCTCACTATATAAGGTGTATAAGAGGTATATAACTTATGGAATTGATTTCCCTTCTTGCAAACCATTTCGTCCTTTGTTCACACCTAATATTCTCGACAGTTGATGGCCAATCTCCAAACTATACGATCAGCCACTAAACCATCCAACTTAAAACTCCATTTTCGTCCATCTCAATTCAATTGACATAAAGTTAGGAGAAATTCACTTACCAGTTTTAAGTACTGACCTTTTGACATTTAGCTATTAATTAAAGAGGCTAAAATTGACAATATTACACTTTAAATTTTATTAACTTTATAAATTCAGAGCCATATAATTTTAAATATTTAAAATAAAAAAAATATTTGAAATTATTACTTGCAATTTGATCATTAATTTACTCGTCTCAAGTTGATGAAAGTGTTACTTTTGTAGCGTGAGATATGATAGATTTTGAAACAGTGAGAAACGATTTGCTTCGTAATTTATTATGTCACGATCCTGAAGTTCAGTCGAAATTGAAAAAAACTATTAATAACAGTTTTGAAATACGAATCGATTGCTTAGTTTCGTCCTGGAAATGACAAGTTTCACTAAGGTATTAAAAAAATTAATTTCTTATTATCAGTGTAATTTTCAAAAAATGTATATATCCCCACCTATGTAACTTCTTATTTCACATGAGTCACGAAACATTTTAGCAACTCAGTCTACTTATCTTATAAGTGTTGTAACGCAGCATTTTATTGGCCGCTTACAAATTAACTTTCTTTGTCAATAGTAAACTGTAAATTTCTATAATAATCACGCCAAATCGAGAATCACTGATTATTATTTTCTCCTTCCGAGAAATATTCTTTTATTAAATATTGTAATTTTTGCGAACCGTCAGATCGCTGGTCAAAACAATTAATTAATCATAAGAAAACTGATACTTCGATTTATTATTTCATGTAAAAATTATCACTGCGAGTTCCTGATTTTCAAACTTCGGGATCACTGCCGAGATTTTTGGAAATAAATACCGGTCATACTGAGTGACAGAAATACGAATATCCATCGACGGAGACATCAGCTGTCAAAACACTGGCCGCAGCCATCTTGCTGACCAGACGTCGTCGAGATTGCCCCTCGCGAAGACTAAACGAACTCTTTATGAACTCTTTCCGACAATCGATAAATTATCTAATTACTGACTGTCGCGCATCGATTACCATCGGAAAATCCTTGTAACGAGTGCGCGTGAGACTCACCACGAAGCCGAGATGCGCGACTGCTTCGGCGTCCCCGTCGGCCATTTAATTCATTCTCAGTTTGACGTCGACATAAGATAGAGGTCAAAATAGACCATTTCATATTAAATTCATTTAAACTTAAATTAATTGTGCCTTTTCCTGTCAAGATAAGCCGAGAAACTATGAGGGGACGTCGGCGTATCTCCGGTGAGTCTCAAAATAATTGAATGTGTTGTCTACTGATAATTATTGATCAAAATAAGATGTGTTTCATTTTGCTTTGTTTCACGACACGACATTTCTGTACATGTTAAACAGGTTCCGTCTGGACCTGTAATTTTCTTGTTTATTAAAGACAAAATTAAAACTAACTGATGATTTCTCTTACCCCGCGCTCTCCTTGAAAAGATTGAACTAGCGTAAATTTCATTAATTAATCGGTTTGAATATTTTTCCATAAAATATCTCTGGCGTTCGGGCAATAAATTGAAACAACAAAAGTAACGTGTGTTTTGTGTAACTTGTTGATTATAAATTAGATAAAATTAAATTCTTGAATAAAATAATTTCGTGTCGTGTGATAAAATTGATAAATTCTCAAATATTAACAAAGATAAATAAGACATCCGTTATAGTGTATAATTACTTTTCAATGATAAATTTTAAATCACAATAGTAATATAAAAATAAAGTGAGTCTTTAATAAATTAGACTGTAACAACTTGTTTTCGGTACCGTTTCGATATACACGTGTTACCATAAGGGTCAAGAGTTTTTGGAATCAATTTTAAGGATTCAGAGAAGGGTCGTTAATTTTTATGTATGGAGTGTGATGTAAAAATTGTGGTAGTACAAATAAATGGTATATTTGAATAGAATATTGAAAGTATGAGTGATGAAAGAGAAGTCAGTATTGTGAAGTTAGGTAGCGTGAAGTAAAAAAAGGAGAGGAAGATAGTGATAAATAGTTTAATTGTAGATAGTTATAAGGTTATACTCTTAGTTTGTCATAAAAATAAATTGTCAATCTGTCATCTTCTATTGAGAACTAATTTTTAAAACAATTAAATCCTTGCAGTGTTTCTGGACCTCCATCGCAAACCGCTCAAGATTGCGGATAGTTTGAGGCATTGGTTAGTGACCTAAGGATTAAGGAGAACGACAACAGGTTGGAAGTAACACAAATCATTCTGGACAAGGTGTTAAAAAGAAAAAGTATGAGTAGTGTGACAAGTCAAGCTAGTTGCAAGTTTGTTTTCAGCAATGCTTCTAAAGTTAAAGTCGTTTCCAAAAAACAAAAGTGAAGACAAAACAGAATAAGTTAAAGACGAAATTGCATTCAATTGCAATTTTTAAATTACAATAATAGGACAAAGTGCTTTTCTGTAACTAGTCATGTCAACATTTTCGATCTTCTTGTCTTATGTTTATGGCGAATTTTCAATTAAACTCGTTACGGACCAGTAGTTTAAAGAAACCAACCATTTGTTTCTATTCGAATGCCTCACAGATCAAATGTATAAATGTATAAATAAGGTACAATTTTAAAATGTTTTCTGTTGGACAAAAATATTAAAAAATTTTTATATAAAATTTTTAATGCAGATTGGTTTACATATCCTGCTACATATTTTAGAAAAAAAATAATATAAATTTTAACAGAAAGAAAAGTTAACATTTATTAATCATCATTGTGAATAATTTTACATAGTGTAATAGAAAATTATGGGCATTTTATTGGTTTACTAAAAATTAATTAAAATGTATAAAGATTTAATATACATAAATGTGTGAAAATTGTAGAATAAGGATGAGAGATAAAAAATTTATTCTGCTACCTTCGTTAAGGAGAACTAAGTTATCTCCTTCGTTAGGATGTTGCTTAAAGAAGCGCTCTCGACTGGCTGGCACGACAGTTTTACAACCGTTAAAGAAATCATGATGAACCGGTGCGAGAAAACCCGGAAATTCTCTCTCTTACTCTCTCTTTCTCACTACTTCCTTCCGTAGTCTGACAAACGCTACGATTATCAGCGACATAATACCTACCTGCTTCCTGTTAGCCAATATTTGCGAGGTCTAAAGTTTCTTCGCGCTTCTCGTTCACCCGTTTGTTCGCTCGACCTAAGAGTTTTTAATAGGTCGTCTTTAGATTGAAACGATCAGATTAATATTCATCATTAAGTTTTTAAAAAAGTTTTTTTTTGGCATCAAGGTGATTCGATTAAAAATTTGTTAAATCAAAATATTTTATTTACTTTGACACCGAAAATTTTGTTAAAGAAAATAAAATTGTTTACTTGAAAAATGCAACGAAAAGTAATGAAACATTGATAAAGATTTTTTTTAAACCAAGAAAAATACGTTTCTTTTATTTTTTTATACGCGGAAAAGAAAAAAAAGTATCTTTACTTTCTTTGCAAATGTACTTACTGATCTAATTATTCTATTTCCTTGCTCTGCGTTTGTACTTCAGCATGAACTAGAAATCAGAAGTAAATGAAAGGAAATCGATAGGTCAATAAAGAAAAGGGAAAACTGAAAATCTCAACTGCCATTAATAACATAGAAAATTTATGTAACAATAATAAATTGTTACGAAAGGTATTATGAAGAATAAAAAGCATAATGAATTTGCTTTCACAAAATGAATAAGGTTCAAAGATATTCTACAGTTTTAAATAATTTTTCAAATCTGAAACAATTCTAAAATACAAATACAGAATAAAATTAACAGACTTCTAATTTAGAAGGAAAAATTTTAAATAACTGAAAATTGTTTGACACTGATAAATACAATTTCTTCAAATCTGCAAACGTTGCAAGTTTTTTTCAACAACTAGTAACATTGAATTATTCATAAAGTTTCATGGGTCAGGACAGCTAAAAAATTGATTCGATATTTTCGAACGTTCGTCATCGCTGAAAGTTTCTACTAGGAAATTTTCACCTTCTGGAAAAAAGTTTAAAACACATCATCCTTCAAAATGTAGGAGTTTCCGGTTCTTGTGTCTCAATTTTGTAAACATATCTTGTTGAAAACTATGTGGAGAATAGTTTATTTTTTCATTCAAGAAAAATAAAATAAAACAATTTTAGAATATTTAAATGAACGCGTCACACGTGAAAAGCTTTGAGGTTGATTGATGGATTTTATACTAAATAAAAAGAGAGAAGCTAAAAATGTATAGAGGAGATTTCAATAAAACAAAACAGCATCGGTGAATCTCTATTTCATGTGTTAAACATTTTTTTACGAGTACATATCCTCTCAAAAAAAAAACTTTACATGGAAAATATGTGAGGGTAATAAAATACATCACATAGGTGGTCAGGTTTATCAGGCCATATGAACACTTTTATTCAAACTATTTCAATATCAAGTTTCGTGTACTTTGAAAATTGCAAACTTTATTTAAATTTTTTCCATACAATTTTTTTTATCATTTTTTGTTTTGTTTTAAAATATACATTAATATATATATGTATATATTATACTATTTTTAAAATATAGTGAATATTTTTTATACAATTGAAATTTGAAAAGAAGTTTGTTCATATTGTTGTAGAATGAAAGCAGGTTAATTAAATTTTCAATAATAAATATATGAATAAGTAAATCTTGGTGTATACATTTTTTATGTCGATCGCTTGCTTAATTGATGGTTTTCTGTTACATGATTGTCTATTTTTTAACTATTGCAAATTAATTATTGAAATAGTGAAAATGACAATCCGAACTGCAATTATCGCTTTTTCATCAAATTTGTAATTCGACACTAAAGCAAGTTTTCCAAATTAGTTGTTTTTGTGAGAGAATCTCGTGATTTGTTTGCGAGCTTTCAAATTATTACCCGGCGTATTGTTGCAGCCCGGAAGTCGCGTTCAACCATCCCAAGCGCGTTACGTATTTTTGTTTCCACGAAGGCTTACAAATTTTGGCAGAAGAAGCTGTGAGAATAGCTAGCTAAGTTCTAGATTTTCCCGAACTTGGAACTGTTAATTGGTTTACTTCGGACTCTCGTATCGTGAGCCAACTTTCCTTTAGAGATACGGTATTTTGTCGGAGGGGTGAAAATTGTTTGGAAGAGTTCAACTTTGCACTGGATTCTCAACGATTAAATATTTCTCAAAAACAAGAATGATCTCTCTATTATTTACAAATTTTTTTTTCTTCCCTTTTTTTACGAACTTTTCCATTTGACAATATTCTTTTTGAATTAAGAAAAAATTGAGAAATAAAAAAAAAAAGAGATAGAGACAAATCTGTATTACGATGAAATTCCACAGTGATGATTAAACTCTTTTTAATTCGTTAGGAAAGGACAGTTTCAAAGGATTTTTACGAAATGGCTCTCACAATATTGAATTAGGGAACAATCAAAGAAGATTATAAGATTACCGGTGGAGAAATAATTTTTTTTTCTCTTGCACAAGGATTTCAAAAGAATCAAAGAAATGTGATTATATTAATGTCGGATGTAACATTAAGCTCTAGTTCAATATCCGATAATCTTTCTATATAGGAACCTGACGCGAATCTCAATTTACTCTCTCATTTCAAACAAATAATATCTGATAAACTATCAACAATCGAAATATTCGATGTTTCCATTTAATATTTCCATTTAAATTGAATTTATAATTTCGTTTCAGACTTTGATTTTATTAAAAATGCAGAATTTTAATTATCAAAATAATTAAATATTCCTAACTCTCATGTGAAATTTGACGTACCACTTCGTAACCATTTTTTTATTTTATTATTTCCATAATTTTTATATTGTAATACGAAATTATAATTAAATATAAAGTATAAAAAATATAACGAATATAGAATGTAACTAAAATTTAACAATTTGAACAGAGTTATTTTTCAATTGAGTTGCTGATTGGTTAGTATTAATAATATTAATGAATCATGTATTATTTTTTATGAAATATTATGTACTGCAATTGCAGCGTTTACTCCGGAATTCATTAATAGTTTTCTCGGTAAATATCCGTTTTGGTTTACTTCAGATATTCTAAGAGATATCATTTTGATTGTCTGATAAATTAACATTACTTAGAGATAATTCTTATTAAAAATTACTCTTTTATTAAATTTATATTGAAAAATTCGAACAAATAAACTGTAGACTCAATCAGTAAAATAAAAATTCTAAAAAGGAAATTGATTACAAAAGAATAATTTTTTGCAGTCCTGTTTAATGTTTCTTTAATGTAAGCAAATTTTTCTAACAGACGGTAATATGAGAGAAAGGTAAAATTTTGGTTTTCATGAAATATGAGTTAGAACTGTTCTGATATGTAAATGTACATGCACATTTTTTTGAGATTTTGATAGAATCGAAAAACCGTCAATACCAGACGGTATAATATGACAAGTAGCGCTTGGGAAAAGGGGAGAAGAAGAAAGACTGAACTTTTCTTCTTAGTTAAAGTATCAATATTTTTAAGATGTCTCGTCTTTCCCTTCTGTATACCTGAGAGACCCTATTTCTTCAGTGATATTGATTTTCTTGGTTTGATTCCCATTCCACTCACACGGTAATCTCTTCGAGTGTGTGCCCCGCATTTCTGCAAATTGTACACTTTTCCACGAACTTCGGCATCGAACGAGGCTCAATTTCGAAGAGACTAGAGAGGCAGGTTGTCTATACTATTTGGAGAGGAATGCGAATTCACGAAACGATGAAGCACACACGTTGGACGAAAATTTACTTGATAACTTTCTTCAAGAAAGAATTTTCTTACGAGTTGTTCTCTCTTTGGATCTAATGTGAATCGGAACTTTATGTTCGTGTTTACACGGCGTCATAATAAAAGGATATATACGGTATTATTCAAACAGATGTAAAATTTTCTTTCCCTGCAAAGTACTATATTCGTTTGCAAATTTCATGTTATGACCTAGTTTTAGAAAATAATTACTGAAATAATATTTATTATTTTCACCTAAATCTTTTTTGTAATTTAGAGAAATGTATACTCATATTAAAATTATAGCATGTCATTTATTTTAACAACAATATTCTAAAATTTGAATTTTATTGTCACGTCCTCGGTGCAAAATTTTAAGATTTTTTTTAAGACTCCTGCTTAGTAAGCAATATCCACAATCCTATTTCAAACAAATGCCAACGAATTGCTGAACCATCGCCAACCGTCTGTCAAACAATTGCCTATCATCTGTCAACTAGTTACCAGTGCCAATGATTTGCTAACGTATCCCCAATGAATTGACAACCGACTGACAATCAGTTGCCAACGTTTGACTGAAGTTCCGCCAGCATATATTCTAAATCATTTGCCATTGACCTACCAATATCAAAATTATTTTTGTTTCACTTGAGAAACCAACTGTTGAAATAATTTCTGGGGAAAATCTAAGATGTAACATTATGAAAACTGAGAAAGTGTGAGAGTATCAGATAAATGATAAGTTATTAATATAGTTAACGATAATTTATCGATATGTTTATTAAAATAAACTAATATTTTTAAATGCTACACTTGATTAGATTTTTAGATATAATATTTTGAGTCATAAAAAAAATTTTAAAAAGATGCAAAATTCTAAAGTACTC